AAAGTGTACAAACTTCATTTTGTGTGGCAGTGGCACAAGGACTCAGAACAATTACGGACTTCTCAAGGATACATAGACTCAGAGTTAAATGCTAAGATAAATGATTTAGAGCAAGCTGTTATGCTAGGAGATCAAATTGTTAATCTACAATGTTAACTTCATTTAAAATGTGATTGGAATACCTCTTCATTCTGTATAACTCCCATTCCATGGAATCAAACTCATGTCCCATGGGGAAACGTAAAAAGGCATTTATGGTATCATGGTAATATTACATCTGAGATCTTGTCTCTTCAGCAACATGTTAATAATACTTTTGTAAAACAATTGTCAGAATTGCTTAGTACTGATCTGTTACAAAGCATCTCTAATGTCATTGAAAACCTTAATCCTTTTCATGTTCTTCCATGTTTTAGTGGAAGTGTAGTAGTGATTTATCTATGTTGTCTCTGTACTGTTTGTATATCTTGCTTAGCCTGGTGACGAGGACGAGTCCAGCAACAAGCCATGGATCGAAAGTCTGCAGTCCTTGCCCTGATGCTTCAAACATTTTTGGCATGAAAACAAAAGCGGAGAATTATAGAAATACAGATATGAGACAATCCCCTAATGTCCCAAGGAAGCAGGGAGCAATAGACAGAGCCCAGGGAGAGCCGCTCTCACTCGTAAATCCTGGCAAGTTCGGATTCAGGGCTATAGATCACAGCTTCTCCTGCTGGCTTTGATCCCTTGCTTGGGATGTTATCTGCTAGCATTTGTGTGAACCTAGTGTTAGGCAAATGATGGAAGTCGATACAGACAGTAGTTCCTGTTCACTAAAGTAATTATGCACATTCCTTAACCTGTCTTTAGCCCTCAATAAAGTGAGGCGCTGCTGAGGCTCTGGGCTCACTTGGAGAGACTAATCTCAGTGAGACCTCTGAGGATATAGTCATTAGGTCTTCTCATTCTTTCTTTTGGCACTGACTCATAACATACAACGTTCCTCTCTTTGCTATTCCCCTACCTTATCCACCAGTACTGCCTTCTCTACCCCTTCCACTGGAAACTGCCTTGTCAGTTTCCTTCCACCCTGCCCTCTGCTTATGCCTCCGGTTCCCCTACAGATTCCACAGCCTCTGTTTCCTCCTCTGGCCACTGTGCTCTGCTAAGCAGGTGCTTTAGTCCGCTGAGCTATCTGGCTGACCCTCAAAAATATTTTTGAGTGCACTCTGATTTCGTAAAGATGTTTATTTGTGTGTTCTGTGTATTTATGTGTTTGTGTGTTGTTCTGTGAACAGCTGTTATTCCTCTTTTTATTTGAGTTTTGGAATATAGACTTAGAAGCATGTTCTCTCCTGAGTTACCAGCTGGTCCAAGTGATGTCAAAATGGATTTACTCACAGGTCATAAAAAATGTAAGCTAATTAAACAAAAATCATTAAAATGGGGAAAGATTATTGGACAGGATTCCAGTTGTTGGACAGAGGAATGGCCAACCTTTGCTCATTAATAAGGAGTCCCCCAAATAATCTCCATAATGTCTTGGAAGACACCCTAATAATTTGGTCATTGGTTAAAAGATAAGGTTTTTCAAAGAAGAAATTAAAATAAGGTGCTCTGATAAAGGATGCTCTTGACATATTAAATGTATTCATGCCTTCTAAATGTACCATATTCTACAATGTAAAGTTTCTTTCAGATTTGAACACATGCCTTTCTTCTCTTATGCTCCAGATATTTATAACAAGAGGCTCATGTCAAGCCAACATGAGGTCATCAGTCAAATAATAATTGTCTAGCAAAAACTTATGTGATGTGTATGCTGTGCACATTTTGAGATGCTTAGCTAAAATGGAGATTTAATCATTAAAATTATATAACTGTTGTATGTTAACATTCTACAGTGATTTAACTACTAGAACATCCATAGGTAGGAAGAAACAATACTTCTTTGGTTACACTTTATATATTTAGATAAAATTTTAATAATTAAATGTATTGCTCCCAACTAAGTATACTGATGTAGACCCAGATTCTCCTGGAAAAAAAATTGTTATTAATTCCTATTTTATGTCCTGATCTGCTCCTCACATTTGTGCCATGCTTAAAAAGATAGATCTCAGCCCTCAAAACCCACCAGGGAGATTTACTTAATCTTCAGTAATAGAGAAAAAAAATTAACTACACACAAGTACTAGCTTTTGACTGAGACACTTGGGATTCCCACCAAAGCAAGACCTTGGCAAGGTAGGGCTGAGCTTGAACAACTGCCCCCAAAGCCCTCCTGGATGACTTCAAGTGTGGCAAAAACAGACACTGAGCACTAGCCTGCCCCACCCTGCAGCCACCACTGGGACCTGGTCCCATTTACAAGGTTGAGGGTCACTGGAAATGTGACTGCCTTGTCCACCAGAAAGCAGGTAAGTCATTAAATTCCCTGCCCTCACAGGAAAACTCACTGCAGCCAGATCCATTAATAGTTGACTTGCTTGGTCTTGCTGCTAAAGAGGAATGACAGGCTTGGGGCCCATGGCCTCCAGTTGAGGTATCTTTGTCAAAGCCCCAAGTCTCACTGGACATCTCAGGTAGTATGCTCTTTTCTTGTTGACCCAGGGGCCACATATTAGTATCCTTCCTGAGCTTTCAGGCTACTGTATTAGAGGTTAAGTCTCCATAGTAGGTGTTGATGGCCAACCTACACAACCCCTTCAAACCGAGCCCATTATCTGTCAACTCTAGACACTGTCTTTCACTCATAATTTCCTTGTGATCTCAACCTGCTCCACACCTCTCAGGAAAAATCTCATCCAAAAGCTCTCTCTCTCTCTCTCTCTCTCTCTCTCTCTCTCTCTCTCT